ATATATATATATATATATATATATATATTTTGTTAACTTTTGGAAAAATTTCGTCATTCCATGAGGAATCTCTTTTTTCTCTCTCTCTCTCTCTATATATATATATATATATATATATATATAGAGAGAGAGAGAGAGAGAGAGAGAGAAATAGAGATTCCTCATGGGAATGACGAAATTTTCCTAAAAGTTGACCAAATAACAAAAATTCAGCAAATTTAGTTACAATGGACGGTTGGACTGACTGACAACTTTTCTACAGGTCTATGAGAGTGCTTAGCCAACATCAAGAATTAATTGTCTCAGACTTTTAGCTTGTGTAGCCAAAGCTTAGTCATTACTGGCTGTTAATATTATTATTGCTAGATTGCAAATTTACCGATAGTAATGCAAGTAACAAGAAATGCTAATAGCAAGAAATAATATATATATATATATATATATATATATGTGTGTGTGTGTGTGTTTGTGAGTGTGTCTGCAATGATCGAAAGTGCTAGATCAAACATTCGCTCATTCGTACCAGAAAAGAAAAATACATAAAATTAACAAAGAATTCATTGTCTTTCTGCCTCTCTTTTGCTCCCGCTTCCTCTGTCTCTTATTCTTTGTCTGTCTGTCTGTCTGTCTGTCTCTGTATACATCGATACACACACACACACATATATATGTATATATATATATATATATATATATATATATATATATATATATATATATATATATATATATTATAATTTCAGTTGTTTATTCACTGGTATATACATATATATATATATATATATATATATATATATTCTAGAAATCATATTAATGAAAAATAACATTCACAAACAAAGGCACACACACATATATATGTGTATGTGTGTGTGTGTGTGTTTGGGTGTGTGTGTATTCGAGAAATCTTAAGAAAAATATCCTACTTATATATATATATAGAGAGAGAGAGGAAGAGAGAGTGATGATATTTTTCTTTAAAAGAATTCTCGAACATTCTGCCGTGTAAATATAAATAAATAAATATAATGTTTTATAAATAGACGAAGCGTCTACTCAAATGTGGTTAGCCATTAAAAATAGTCTGTATAATTAATAAGTAAACAAATCTATTTCTTCTTTAGAAATACGTATATATATATATATATATATATATATATATATGGGTGTATGTGTGTGTATATAAATATATATATATACACACACACACACATATATATATATATATATATATATACAGAGAAGGGGAGAAATACAGCAGATACCACTCCCCCTTACAACACCTTAGAACTCACATCCTCGATAATAATATTATTAGTATGAAGACTTTTCTTCGTAGGGACGAAGCGTATTGTAAAGGTTATTTTTCTCTTTCATTATGTGATTCGATTACTCACTATTTGTCTGATATATAAATTCTTATATCATATCCACCCAATGTGTGTGTGTGTGTGTATATATATATATATATATATATATATATATATATATATATATATATATATATATATAAACGAAATGCTGAATTTTCTGTCTATGATGAATATCAACTATAGATTTGGGGTGTGTGGAAATTCATAGAGAGCGTATGTGTGGGCGTCGATGCCCTTCAAACAGGCTAACGATCACCAAGGTAGAACTAACAACATCGGCATAAACTTTTCTTGGGCTTTGTCTCCCCTAACAGAAT